TGTTTGGCGGGCCGGGCTGGATTGGAACCCGCCACCCTGGGTGTACATGGCTGGCGCCTTAGCCACTTGAGCCACAGGCGCCAAACCTATTTGTAATTCTTAAGATGATGACTGGTACATAGTGTGTGCTTGTTGAATGTTTGATAGATGGATGAATCTTTATTATGCATAGGATTCCAGTTAAATATTATTATTCATCTTTTCAGAGGGGAAAAAAGTGAGGTTACTGTCAAGGTCACAAAGGCTTTTCCAACGCACACTGAGAGGATTTGAATACAATTTTTCTTTCCTGTTATCAGTCAGAAATCAGATGTCCCCAATTATTTTAACTGTAATAACTTAATGTAAAGAATAATTAGTCAGATACTAGAAAAAGCTGAAAAGACTAAAAAGGCACACTGAGGTAGCTCGCAGGAAGCAGCTGTACCCTCTGACTGACAGAAGAGTGTGATTATTTAGAAGCTTAGAAGAGGGACCACTGGGGTTTAGACTTACAAGGAAAGGACATAATAAAACTTTTTAGTGATGTGGGAAAAGTACATTCGAACCAACTGCTGCCCTCTGGGCTACCATTACTGCCCCCTATAAGCACAGGTTGGCAGGGAGCCAGCTGGCAAAGAGTAAACGTCAGTTGGCAGGGTCTCAGCCCCATGTTATGAGCCACATGTGTAACAGTGGATTTGAAACTGAAAGAAAATAGATTAATAACCAGGATGCCATTCATTAGATGATGATTTTCAAAACTATAGTTAAATTGAGTATAAGGTTTCAGCCTTCTGTGCCTATAATAAATGAACTAGGGAGATAAAGTCTTAGATGACTCTAAAATGGCAAGACCTGATAAAAATTAGAGGGTGGACTTTTGGTGCTTTCAGTTCTAAAGTTTGCTTTGGGGTAACACAACTGACAGTTAACCTTGTAGAATATTTGTTTCTCTTGAGAATAACTCAGAAAGCCAAAGACATTTGTGTAACAGTAGATGTCTAATGTTCATCGAAACTTAGCTTTGCATTAACTTAAAGCAAACCAGTGCTCTGGTTTCTCTTTAGACTGAATAAATCTTTTGCCTTTTACTAAACAGAAAAAAAAGCATGGCTGGGCACTGTGGCTCACACCCGTAATCCTAGCACTCTGAGAAGCTGAGGTGGGTAGATTACCTGAACTCACAGAGTTGAGACCAGCCTGACCAAAATCGAGACCCCACTCCTAAAATAGCCTGACATTGTGGCGGGCACCTGTAGTCCCAGCTATGGAAGCTGAGGCAAGAGAATCACTTAAACCCAAGAGTTTGAGGTTGCTCTGAGCTATGATGCCATGGCACTCTACCACAGGTGACATAGTAAGACTGTCTCAAAAAAAAAAAAAAAGAAAGGCATAACCAAAAGAATATAGTGAGTAAAAACCAGAATAGTGGATATAAGGATGTCAAAAAGAAATGATCTAACTGATGGAGAATTTCCCTCTCTCCTTTTTTTCCTACCCATCTTTTTAATAGGATTTATTTTTATCCCAAACCCCTTCCTCCCTGGTTACCAGTGGCACTGGGTGAAGCAATGCCTGAAGTATTATTCCCAGAAACCTAATGTATGTAACCTGGACAAACACATGGCTGGAGAAGAGACCCAAAATCTGTGGGAACAGAGCAAAGAGTTCCTGAGGTAAGTCTTAACAATCGGAATCCAGTGTTAATGTTCAGCTAAGATCATCACAGATTTTGAAGGAGCTATTCCATAATAATGTAGTGAAAGTGACTGGCCAATATTTCCCCCCTCATTATTTTCAAGCAAATGTAATACAGTTGTATTCTTTCCCAAGGAACATTTAGAGATGTTTTGACAGTTATATTAAATTGAGATCCCTTTTTAAAGATCTGCTTATTATAGTATACATATTGAGTTTATCCTCATTAATCATTAGATGATCCATTTTCATTCAGCTTCTACTTCTCTTTTTTTTTTTTTTTGAGACAGGATCTCAGTATGTCGCCCCCTGTGGCGTGTGGTGGCGTCACAGCTCACAGCAACCTGAAACTCTCAGGCTTAAGTTTAGATTCTCTTGCCTTAGCCTCCCAAGTAGTTAGGACTACAGGAGCCTGCCACAACACCCAGCTATTTTTTAGTTTGTTGTAGTTGTCATTGCTGTTTAGCAGGCCCTGGCCAGGTTCGAACCTGCCAGCCCCGGTGTATGTGGCCAGTGCCCTAACCACTGAGCCATGGGCATTGAGCCTCTTTTTTTTGTACTTTAAGGGAGTTCCTTTGAAGAATCATCAGTGCTCCCAGCTGTTTTATGGTAAGTCAGTTGTTCCTCATGAGAAGTACTAATATTTGTGTCTTCATGTTGTTTCAACATTTATTGATTCATTCCGCTGATATTTATTGAGGGCCAGTATTGTGCCAGATGTGATGCTAGGCATTGGAGATATCAACATAAAAATACCCTTTGCTGTACTGAAGAATGCCTACTCTGTGGCAGGAACTCAGTATCTACAGAAATAATTGTAGCAGAGCTCAGAAAGTAGGCCAGATGCAGTGGTTCACGCCTGTAATCCTAGTAATTTGGGAGGTGAAGGTGGGAGGATCACTTGAGGCCCGGAATTAAGACTAGGCTGGGCAATATAGTAAGACTCCATCTCTATAAGAAATAGAAAAATTACCTAGGCAGTGTCATGTGTACCTGTAGTCCCAGCTACTTGAGAGGCTGAGGCAGGAGGATCATTTGAGCCCAGTAGTTTGGGGGTGTAATGAGCTGTGATGATGCCACTGCACTCTACCCCAGGGAACAGAGATAGACCTGTTTAAAAAGAAAAGTTATAATGGGGTTTAGAAAAACACAGTGGGGGCTCAATGTCCATAGCACAGTGGTTGCGGCACCCTCATACACCAAGGCTGACAGGTTAAAAATCAGCCCAGGCCAGCTAAATAACAGTAACAACTGCAACAAAACATAGCCGGGCATTGTGGCAGGCGCCTATAGTCCCAGCTACTTGGGAGGCTGAGGCAAGAGAATCGCTTAAGCCCAAGAGTTGGACGTTGCTGTGAGCTGTGATACCATGGCAGTCTACTGAAGGTGACATAGTGAGATTCTGTCTCAAAAGAAAAAAAGAAAGAAAAATACTGTGGGGATGCGGCCAAGCCTCAGGAGATGCTAAGAAATGGAAAACTCTGGAACTAGACTCCCCTTTCTGTCTTTACAGGCTTCCGGGGCAGATCCCTCATCCCCCAGCCCTTTGTCTCCCAGGAGCCCTGCTTCATTCAGTCTTTCTCCTCCCTAGCTCTCCCTGCACACATGGCTGTCTAGCTCTCCACAAAGTCTCTTCCCAGTACTCAACAGAGAGTCTCTGAGGCCCACTAAAAATTCCAAGTTGAGCAAAGCTGGGGCTGTGCCCACCTCACACCTGCTGTGTGAGTGACACAACTGAGGCCCCTCAGTACAGTCTAATGAGGTGGGTGAGAGCCAGCAAATGGGTCATCAGGTCATTAATGGTTCGCATTGGGGAGATGTACAGAAAAATACAGATAATGTTAAAGATTAGTGTTTGTATTAAGGGAACAAAAAAACCACCGTGAGAACACAGAGGAAGAAATCATTTTTTGAGGCAAAGTAGGTGGTCAAAGAAAAAAAGTTTTTTTTAATTGGGTTTATCTTCCTAATTTTTTCCTTTGCTCATTTGAAATGGTCTTTAAAAATGATCGAGGATGGGGAGATTAAGGGTTTGCCAGTTAGAAAAGAAAGGAGGCTATTTTGGGTTGAGAAAGCAGCCTGTACAAAGATATATAAGACAGAATAAGCTCTGGGAAACAGGAGTGCTGGATGTGTATTCTCATACGTTTATTCAGCAGATGCCTACTGAGTTTCTGCTATGTGTCAGATACTGTGCTTGAGTGTTAGAGATCTAAAAACAGGTAGTGAGTTCCTGTCTTCAGGAAGTTTATAGTTCAGTTGACGACAGAGACATATAAACAGATAATTAAATACAATTTGGCAAGTACAGGGACAGAGTTTATAAAATATAGTGGGAATGGCACTTAAGTGGCTGGGTTTAGGGTAGATTGTGGAAAACACTTCCTAAGAGTCGTGTGTGTGATTGGCAAAATATGATGTGGGAAAGGTGGGTCAGGGCCAGAATGTAGAGTTTAATGATGTAGAGAGTCAGTTCTGGGGTCAGAATACCTCTATTCAAATTATGGCTCTGCCACTTCATAGCTGTGCAACCTTGAGCAAATTTCTTAACCTTTCTGTGCCTCATAACAGTCCTTTTGTTATTGAATAGTGTGAGGATTAAATGGATAATGTGAGAATTCCTTAGAACATTGCCTGTTGAAACTATTGTACCAACTTTGTGTTCTATTTGGTCTTAAGTGAGCCTACTGGTGTAGTTTTCAGAAATTGTCATGTTGATTCTAACAGGGGAGAATAGATATTCTTAAGTTGAAAGGGGAAAAGAGAATTAAACTTCATTGGTTTTCCTTGAAAAGCCTTCTTTTCTGTTGGTTAAGGTATAAGCAGGAGCAATGTTAAGCTTTTAGTAGTGTCATCTTTGGAACAGAAAGCAAAGGAAGGTGATGATTGAGTGAAATTAGTCAAAGAAAACTTACTGTTATTAAACCAATCTGTGTTTTCAAGTAATTGATTTTTTTTCCTTCTGATATATGACTGCAGAAATCCCAGCTATCTTCTAAGATAGCTCAGGTGAATCTCTATAATAAATCACCTTGCAAACAATGTTGAGATTCATTTTTTTGTCTGACAAATTAGCAAAAATAAAAAATGGAGTGGTCATACCTTATGTTGTCAGGGATTGGAAGAAATTGATAAGCTCAGATGTTGTGCTGGCAGCATTGAAAATCAATTAGGGCCCTAGTTCTGGTTCTGTCAGTATATGATACATATTTCAGTTTCCTCATGTAGGAAATGAAGGTATTAGACTGGATAAGCCATTCAAGGTGGTTGAATTGTGGTCATTCAGAATTGTGTGAACAGTATATGGCATTTCTCCCTATTTTCCCAGAGTCTGTCAGGAAGAGAGAGGGTCTGTTGCTCAAAAAGATTCCCCAGGGCTCAGTGCCCATAGCTCGGGGAGTAGGGTGACAGCCACATACACCGAGGTTGCTGGTTTCAAGCCCAGCCTGGGCATTCTAAACAACAATGATAACTGCAACCAAAAAATAGCCAAGTGTTGTGGTGGGTGTCTGTAGTCCCAGTTACTTGGGATACTGAGGCAAGAGAATCGCTTAAGCCCAAGAGTTTGAGGTTGCTGTGAGCTGTGATGCCATGGCACTCCACCAAGGGCAACATATTGAGACTGTATCTCAAAAAAAAAAAAAAAGATTCCCCTGGAAATTCTGATTAAAATCAGCTACCCTAATGTCCTCTCACCTTGAGAGCCACTGAACAAAAGGACTTCTAAGATCCTTTTAATTTTAACTTTCTAGAATTTTATGATCAGGGAATAAGAAACTTTAAGTAGGAAATGAAGAAGAAATATTTGAACTTTGAAGCAAAAAATAGAACTTTTCACCGAGTTAGAGCACCCCAGTTCTCTGTTTTATTCCAAATCAATGATGTAACTAGAGATTCTTATAGAAGAGTGAAATAGTTGCAGACATCTCTCTTGCAGCATTGTTTTAACAGAAAAAATAATGGTAACAGCCTAAGAGTCGGAGCCAGGTAGGAACAAAGGCCAAAGTCTTTGTTGTATAAGACCATCACATTTAGAAAATATCTAAAGTCCTTAGCATGGCCTACAAACCTTAGTGGTCTGACCCCAGATACCTTTCTAAGCTTATTTCCTACCATTCCTTTTCTATTGGTTCTTTTCTAGCCACACTAGCCTCCATTGCTGCCTCTTACCTTTTTTTCTTTCTTTTTTTTTTTTTTGTTTAAAGAGACAGGGTCTCACTCTGCTGCCCAGGCTGGCTTTGAACTCCCAATTTCAAGCAATCCTCCTACCTCAATTTCCCAAGTAGCTGGGACTGCAGTTTTTTGTTGGTTCTGTTGTTTTTTTGTTAGATTTTTTTTCGTCTAGATTTTTTGTATTCATCAGTGCAAGATAGTTACCAAATAAAAATTTGTGCAATTTTGTTTATGTGTTATCTATTCAACTATACTTTTAAGAAATAGGGTAAGGGAATATATAAATTTAAATACAACAGTCTAACTTTATTCTCTGTTAGCTTATGAAATACTTTGTATCAGGTTTTTTGTTTTTTTTTTGAGACAGAGTCTCACTTTGTTGCTCTTGGTTGAGTGCTGTGGCTTCACAGCTTCACAGTTGATAGCAACCTCAAACTCTTGGGCTTAAGCGATTCTCTTGCCTCAGCCTCCTAAGTGGGACTATAGTCGCCCGCCACAACATCTGGCTTTTTTTAGAGACAGGTCTCTCTGGCTCAGGCTGGTCTTGAACTCCTGAGCTCAGACAATCCCAGAGTTGTATCAGTTTTTTACATGTGAAAAACTTTCTTTTTTTTTTTTTAGGTAGTAAATAATTCAAAAGTTTAATTTACCATTTCTTGACATACTGACTTCTAAAATTATGACCTTATATATTGTCTATAAAATAAGAGAAGTGTTAAATATTCTTTATTTGACATTACACGTAAAGCACACTTAAAATGCCTTTCAGTAAATAAAAGGGAGCATTTTAATAGACCCAGGGAAA